ATCATCAACTCTGTTATAAGAGTACCAAATGTCAGACCATACCATGACCAATATTCAACGTGTCTATTSTCGCCAAACACACTGAAATCCCTTGATACAGTCAAGATCTTTAGTATRAAAGAAACTCCACCAGTAAAAGACGCCATAGTTAACAAAAAAACTAAGGTCTTCATYTTCTTGGCCTCGCTGTTGAACTGATTGTTATAGCATGCCAGGTTACGCGATGGTCTCAAGTTTTGCCAAATCTTGCATGYGGTCAGTGCAAAGCCAAGACATACTACTACTCCCCACARCACATAAATAGCTTGACAAACAAGAAGTACTACCTTGGCTTCAGGGTATAACACCACGAATATGTCTGATATTATGAAGAATATAATGTATAGAAATGTTACAGATAGTGGGTAKCGCAGCTGCTTGAAGCGCGCTGCGCCGAATCTGAGGTTTGTTGTTTCCACGAGGATAAAGAGAAGTATAGTGAAGGCAGAAACACTACAAGCGGATCCAAGACCAAAGATAATAAGCTCAAATACGAACAATTCTGTATTCTTTGGAGGTGATAGGTAGGGATCCTTGAACAGAAGTCCTGCRCGAAAACAACCCATCAAGAGAAGAAGTAGGTTCATAACAAATGMGTGGACTTTCTTGAATATTTGTTTCCTTCCTTTGATAAGAACATACAAGGCCCATAGACTACTGATAATGAATAAKCCACCAAGGCCATACTTGTACAGTCGCCACGACCACAAATACAGGTGTAGAGATCTACGGTCCGGTGATGGTTCGGCCCAGGAATCACTCTGCGCCGACATAGATACAGTTGTTGAAAAGTCTGTGGCTGTTTTTCTCTAGACTAATTTTCCTGAAATTCAGAGCTATCCAAAAATCAATGGGGGTTATTTACCTTGTACGATTATTTTTGTTCTACTTTTAACAACCACCTTTATACTAGTCTGGTTCGCATGCAGAAAAACGCATATTCAAAGCTGTCCAAATCAATATCTGATCTGCCGACATACAGGAACTAATTTGTCATTTCTAAGAGCAGCTTTACCAAATGTTAAGGCTAGTGAACCTGAAAGCGGACATGATTGACCAAGAATGAAGATTGAGATGACAAGAGAACAGATACTATAGATTGACAGGGTTGATCAAGAAATTAATATGAAATATAAARCAGTCAACAGAGACAAAGGCAGGTATAAAAGACAGATCATCCAACGACAACATGTCGCTCAGGTTTGACAATCTGTTTAGATAGMATAAGTTACGTATCTCTTAATACTGCACTCACAAGGCCTCCGAATTAATTTCCACTCACGGCTTGATTCAGTCAAAGACAATAAACTTCAACTGTACACCAGGTGCGCACCCCGTAGTTAGTTAGCTATACTCCTAATTAAAAAAACACTTATTCTAGTGAACAAACAGCGTTTCTATTGCTTTTATGCTTATTCAAAAGATATAGTGATGTTTTCGTGCAAGCTGGAAAAAGTTAATAATCMTAAAATGAAAGAAAATCTTGATGTGTGGAAACAGGCTTTGAGTTAAAAATAGTTTTTTTAATTGATGAGACAGTTATTCCGGAAACATGTAAAAAAGATATCAATCACTCCTGTGTCTAGCTGTATCATGTGGTTTACGATTCCTTTTTGAGAGAGAAAAAAAATTCTAGAAAATTCTAGCCGTTTTAAAATATTCTAACATTACTGTCAAATAATGAAATATTGAAATATTTGAGGATGAAATATTGGATGTCATCGTTGTCATCGTCATTCCCTACACTCCGGCTCGGTGTTTCTATATTTTACAAATTTACGGCTGTGACAATTTTTMACGAGATTCCTAAATATCACTTTTTCACGATCCTTTTTTCTCCCACATCCATTATTAATATGATTGGGAAAAGCAACCGACGTTACTTTGTAATCAATTTTCACATATTACACAATAACTAATAAACAATATCRAGGCCGCAAGGAACTGTGGGACAGGGGCAACTTCTTCCCGAAATCAATTCCCATAATTCCACGCGCGACTTGTTACTAGTCTTCAGAAAGTAACTGGACAATACATCAGTCCCAACCCAGTCCCTTGATGACGTATGAGTGCTTACCTTTTTATCTCTGATATCTTTTCACTTAGTCTTTCTCCATTATTCTTCATATCAGTCAGCTAAATATATAAACACAGGCAAGGTGAGTACTCTGATAAAACACATACTACACATACATGAATGGATTAGTATTCTTTATAGTCGTCTTGGGGACCGGATTAGGTTAACGTGGGCTCCCTGTTTTAACTTAAATTCGATTGCTGATGTGTTGATGTTGACGACGAATGGAGATTACGATCAAGGTGATGATGATGATGATGATTGTGGTAATGATGATTGGCGATGCCCATTGGTGTGAAGATCATGCTTATGATGATGATGGTGATGATGATAATGATGATGCTGACAATAGTGTTGTTGATGATGATGGTGTTGATGATGATGACGATGATCATGGTAATATATCGGGATACGCTAATCGTTGTCATCATATTTACCAGTATGCGCTTCTCTTCCTCCATCGCTTCTTTAGCCACAACAATATTGTGTTTCTTCCTCTCTTCCTCGTCAAGCATCACCTTTCAACATAAAACCATAATTACTACTGAATTATTGCAAAACACAGCACCTAATAATACATGCCGGCACATTATTCTAACATACCTGAATGGGTTGTGACTGGGCCTCTGCATCCTGAAACATGAAAAAGGTTTTTGAAAAATGAAGAAATCCAACGATAATTTTTCTTTTCAAGATGGGTTGTGTTTTTCTACTGATTTACCTTAATTTCTCGTGCGAACGCGTCGTTCTTGGMGGTCAATTCTGCCTTTTGTTCTTCCAGGTGAGTTCGTCGCTGCAGTTGTTCATTTAGTTTTAGCTGCGGAACGATGATCAATCAGTCACTACTCAATCCAAAGTCTATTTACAGAATAAACGACCCTTCAAGAGATCAGTATGATGTTACCTTTTTTGACTTGAGATCGTGAACGTTGGACGTAAGTGTGGTAAGCTGTCTTTGAAGCTGGGTTAGTGCGCGTCTGCGGCGGTCAATATGACGGTCTAGGGTCTCTCTGATACAAGTWAAAACAATATATRAATGTTAAGGCTAGTCACGTTTAGTGCTCGTCTGCGGCGGTCAATATGACGGTCTAGGGTCTCTCTGATACAAGTAAAAACAATGTATGAATGTTAAGGCTGGTCACGGTTGGTGCTCGTCTGCGGCGGTCAATATGACGGTCTAGGGTCTCTCTGATACACTGTACAAGTAAAAACAATGTATGAATGTTAAGGCTGGTCACGTTTAGTGCTCGTCTGCGGCGGTCAATATGACGGTCTAGGGTCTCTCTGATACACTGTACAAGTAAAAAAAATATATGAATGTTAAGGCTGGTCACGTTTAGGGCTGCTTTTATGTTCCTGCATTTTGGCTTCCATCTATCTCAAAACTTTATGCTAACTCAGACTGCTGTAAATTCGATGATCAGAGTACATACGATCGATCCTGTCTGTCCGTGATTTCATTTGTTACTGCTTGCATGGTGCGGCCAGGAGCTAGAAAAAGACAACAGAAAATCGGTGATTTATTTCAACGCTACCCCTTTCCTTCCAAGGTAAGCATGCGGTWTATATGTATGGCATAATGCTATAAATACCTATCCCTTGCAGCTGKGATTGATAGAGAGAGATGTTCTTGTCAAGATCTTTCAAGCTTCTTTTATAGTTTTCTACTTCACGTAGATCAGGTTCCATTTGTCTTGCAGTCATTTCCTCACTCTCAGTCAAGCTGTAGACATCCTCCAGCTGAAAAACACAGGGTTACCATAAATACTTCATTGATCAAATGCGCCCTTGCGTCACCACCATCAACTTACTTCCATGATCTGTGCTTCCATTTTCTCCAAGTCTTTGGAGATGTCAGCAAGTCTCGACTTGGCTTCTTGTATTTCTGATGTCTCGATCTTTTCAAGCTGGTAAGGTATAGGATTATGAATGTTATTGGAACTTTTATATGATAAACASTCAAAACGAGAAGTAATGTGCAGGAAAGAGAATGAATGTAAGAAGAAACGATGGGAGAAGAAAACCAATGGAGGGAGGAATGAGACTGGAAAAGAAGACAAGAAAGGAAGAAAGAAAGGAAAAAGAAACGATTGATAGAAGAAACAGAGATAGGGAGGGAGGGAGGAAATGAAGAAAGAAAGAAAAGAAAGTAGAAAGAAAGATAAAGGCAAAGAATAGAAAACAAGAGAATGAGAAAACTCACATTTTCTTTAATTGGGCCCAGTTTTAAGATCTTTTCGTAGCGTCTTTCTTCTTGATCCAAAAGGATGTCATTCTCCTCTCTTTTGGCAGGAAGATGTACCACTTTCTCATTAAGCTACGTGCAAGATTCAATGCAAAACAAATTAGATAACAATAGATACAGTTCCCTATCTTCCCTCCTGGGACAACAGGGAATATTTAGACATACCTCAGCTATGAGACTTTTGATCTGTTTACTGGAGTCAAAGCAGCGATGACATAGAGGACATCCTTCTTCTTTCACACTTTCTTCTTGAAGCTTTTTGATGTACTTCTTGTAGATTTTCTCGATTGAAGAAAACAGACCCTTTTCGCTAAAARGTGGAAAAGATTAAAATGCAAAATAGACAAATTTGTCAGCTCTTGGTAGCAGTTTTGAAATGTACTGTAAAAGATGCATAAATAGAACAAATAAAGTACGTACTTTCTCAAAWACGATATCTGTTCACTCAGCTGTTCTTTCATCGTGTTGTAGTCATTTTCCCCACAAGCATCCTTCAGCTGTTGTTTATATGTTGCAGCTTGGTCAACCTTTCTTTTCAGCTGGTCTCTAAAAACATCAGTAACACTCATTAGTAACACTCATTAGCATCAATGATAAAGGTAAACAGTTAAAGCATAGAGCATTCTAAAACCATACACAGCTATTTTATGGCCATTATTTCAGATAACATGCAGGTTTGCAATGTTAATCACAAACATCATATTTCATACTCAATGTTCTTTTTGTTGGCTTCTTTAGCAGACTGAGCTTGTTTTATTCTTTGCATTCTGTTTCTGGTGTCTTGTAGCTCCTTGCCCTTGTTTCGTAGGTACTGACCCAGCTTGTCACTAAGACTTTCACTCGTTCCTGTACCACCAATTATAGTTTTGATGTCTTCATCATGCTTGTTCATTCTGTAAGCCAACATCATTATAATGTACAGTAAACCTTCTTTACCAGAACCATACTATCTGTGCAGGTGCAATGTTCGTATTGATACCAAGAAAAAACCTCTGGGCTGATCAAAATCADGGGATAGACCTGACAAACTCTACTCRCATGTTATGGTAAGACCAGGAATTGAATCCTAGACCCCAGAGTTCAGTGCACTACAACTACACCACCCATGAAGGTGATTTAAACCAAGTTAATCACTACTCACAGTTTTTGTATATTATCTTCTTTTTCAATCTTTTCTTTAATGAGCATGTCCAGTTTTGTTTTTGTGGTAGAGTGGAAATGCATGGTCTGTTGCTCTTCTCTCAACCTGCTCAGTTCTCCATCAACTTGACGCTTGTCATTCTGAAGTTTTTCTATTTCTGCATTCATTTCATCAACATTTCCAAGCTCATTAGCTTCTTCAAGTTCTTTCATCTACAATCAGTCACAAACAGCTATTGGATGAGGTTGAGCATGATCATGTTATACATACAAGGTTTTTGATTTATTGGGAGCGCATGCTTTGCATGAGCACCCAGTACACACCCACACTTTCCATTTTGTCATTTGTACCCCAAATAACAGCCCTTCTAATTTGCACTCTATAAAAGGAATGAAAACCTTGTTTGCTCTGCTTGTGCAAATGGTAAAAAAACACAAGAAGAGTTAAAGAAGAAGTGCACAACAAYCCATTGTGCTTCTCATGATACTTTTCTTATGTTATTCCAATCCCATATGCTTTCAAACTGTAAACAGCACATGCATATGTTTTTTTTAATTCTTCACTATCATAATCTACTGCAGTCTTCTATTTATATTAGTAAAATGTTACTATTACTCACCGCAYGCTGCAATTCAGCATCAAGTGATTTCAGTCTGTTGGCAGATGCATTCACATTACTAAGTTCCTGACCAATGGCTTTCAGTTCTCTTTGATTGTCTCCCTATTGCCAACATCATATTAAAATCTTTGTATCACTGAATTTAAGGTGTCAGTATATCTAATTGTCGTGGCAAATTTTAAAACTAGATGTGCCGAAAGATATGTGAGAGTGTAGTCTTACCATCAACKTTTTCTTCAACCTGATTGTCTCACCATACTCAGCTTGACTTCTCTTGATGTCATCAATCTTTTTCTGGACCACTTCTATCTTGTTCTTAAACAACTCCTGGTGAATGTATCGAACAAATATTAAGGAATGGAAAAATGGAAGAAGAAGGAAGGAAGGAAAGGAGGGAGGAAGGAAGCCCAGAGGGAGGGAAGGAGAGAGAGAGGGCTGCAGAAAGGGGGTAAATAATTTTGGCTTACCTTTTGTTGTTTAGTTTCTTCCACAATATTTGCATAATTCTTTTTAAKATCTTCAATAAATCTGTCCACTTGTGCTTCTGTAAAAGGTGTCTTGCTGTAACCTAACAGTACAAGTTATAACCTCTGTCAACAATCAAACTTAAAAGCCCTACAATTCAAGTCCAGTTAAATAACTTAAATCACCTTGAATTTCATAATAATTTGCAAGTGTCGAAACCATGYGATCTCTGTCCCCTAGGTTAGTTTGGTGTCTCTGCAGTAAACAATGAAGAAAGAATGATTATAATGCAGAATCAATCTTGAGACTAGACAATCATTTATATTGTAAGTGCCAGGTATTCACAGCTGATGGATAAATATAGGATGTTTAGGATGATCTGTGATGGTGGTTGGTGGTTGGTGGGTGATGGTTGTTGGTTGATGGTGGGAGATGGTTGGTGGGTGATGGTTGGTGGGTGATGGTTAGTGGGTGGGTGGGTGATGGTTGTTCGTAAGATGATGGTTGGTGGGTGATGGTTGGTGGGTGGGTGGGTGGGTGATGGTTGTTTGTAAGGTGATGATTGGTTGGTGGATAGTGGTTGATATTTTGCGACACTGGTTGATTGTCTTGTACTCAGATTCAAAGATCAATGCAGGTTTTTGTTYCTTACTTGTGCTTGTTGCTCCAGTTTTCCCTGCTCTTGCAATATGGAACTCTTTTGATTGGATAACTCTTGCTGCTTAGCAACAAGATGTTGATGCTCATTCTCTTTCTGCAAGCATAGATCACAACAAAACGTATTGTAAGTATGATTTATTAAGATAAACAATGGTTAAAAAACATTGAAAAAAAAACACCATCACAAAAAATACCTGTTTTAGAAGCTCATTCTTTTCTTTGATTTTGTTCTGAAAATCCTGGTAAATCCCTTGTAGCTCTTCTGTAGAACCTTTGTACAAAGCAACAGATCATTTGCAGATAAATATCTTTGACTGACATTAATTCTCAAGGGAGTAACACTGGGTAAGAGAATGTTGGGTGCCCCTCCCCTCCCACTGAGAAATCAGTAAGTGATTATGATCTGTTGAGCATCAAACTATGGAAAGCTGACCACTTGTTTAAGATTAAGCATAATTTACTGCCAGTAATTTATGACAATAGTAAAGACTAACTAATGAAACTTGACAATGATTGGCTGTATAGGGTTTGTCAACAAAGAGTACATACAGTACCTGTAAAGACATCTGTAATGTTTTGTAAAAGATCTTGCTCCATATCTGCCAACTGTTCCTTCTTTGCCATCAACAGCTCTGTTACATAGGTACATAATTACTTTTAATAGTGGAAAAGTGAACATAACATGAGAGATGAMAAAAAAAGATTTAGCGTGTTGGGTTTTGTGGAGGAAAACTGGTGAGCCTGAYGAGTTAGAGTTAGGATTAGGGGTAAGCAACAACCTTTGCTCATATCTGTTACCTAGAGTGTGGTCATCACACTCATGGTGCTTGCACACTAGGTGTCTGATTACAAGGTCTTTGCTTTGGACTAGGGCATTGGTACTTTAAAATTAGCTGTGTTAATGCCCAGTAAGAATTTTACTCTGGAATAAGCACCATACTCAGGAACCAAGTGTGAACATGMTCTTAGTCCARTAATAGAACCTGAGGCACTACCATTAAACCACCCATAACATACTAATATAGTACAGTTCATACTTATCGCACTTTACTTAACCACATGTGATTAACTCTAAAGTGTGGAAATCAGGAAAAGCTTGCCTTTTTCTTTTTGCAGCTGACTAACTTCCACTGCAATTTGTTCAATCTCTGTCAATCTTATCTACACAAGGAAAAATGTATTAGTCAGATTAATAAGCCCTGGTTTGGGCTCTCTATTACTCAGGAATTATATAATATAAGGCCATTTTTGGATGTTACACAGTATTTCTTKATAATTCATTTTTATATCGTAAATAATAATATTATTGTAAAGTACCTCCACCGGCTCTAAGTTTCTTGATATCTTAAYAATAGAATCTCTAGTGGCTTCTATTTTCCCTTGAGATTTTTCCAACTGCTCAGCAATCTACATGATAAACAAACACAAGGAGACTAGTCTAAAGGTTTGGTGCTGACTGTGCAAATAGAACAACGTACATGTCCTTTCAATCAAAATGGAATAAACAACATGATGGACACAAGAGTGGGGATCTTGTTGCAGTCTTTTATAACTATTAACAGAAATCCAGTAATTTAAATCAGTCCTCTTATTGTGTAGTTCCAGCAAATAATTATCTATCTGCCCCCCCCC